AGTTAGGATTTTCTGCTTTTCACCACGTGAAAAAGCATCTCATCTTCCATCCGAATCAACCAAAAAGTGAAAATTGATTTTTTGACACCTAAGCCCCCTTTCCGTAGACCAGGTCACATATAGCGTCAACTTGGAATCCCTTTTGAATAGTTTCCAAACAGTCCTCTATAAAAGCAGTTAAATTGGTAGATCTACTACCCAAAATGAACCCATAATAAATTTTTAACAGCAAAGTGCATTTTGTCTTTAACTATGAACTCAATCAGTTTTAAGGCAGCGGTAAGCTTAGAAATCAATCTGCAATTCTCAATAAAATTTGTATTACCACTTTTAAGGATTGGCGTAATAAAAGTAAATTTCCAGTCAGGGAGGAAAACTCCATACATACAAAGACTTCGTAGATTTCTTTTTAAATTTCGTACAAAGTTCGAAATTTAGACTTACATGGCTTTTGTTAGATAACGAGCTACACTTTTACAAAAAAAATATAAACATTAAATAAACAAAAGCACAACAATAGCCAAAATTTTGTAAGCTGCCGCGACCCTATTTTATGTCCGACTTTGTATATTTTTCAAAATTTAGTTCCCAAACCCTCTTTTATAAATTTCCTCTTTTTATAAGCTATTTTTAAAATTTTCTTTTGCACATTAACTAGCCCCAACAAACCATCTTCAAAAAATAAAAAATAAAAATCTTCTAAAATGAAATACTCTACTTACTCGCCAGCACCAATCGACAAGCTCTCCATATTGCCTTTAATGAAATATAAATTCTCGCCCGTCCAATGGAACACTTTAAAGCTGGGATTAAATTTGTATAACAGCGATTCGCCGGTGCCGTAAAAGTGATCGGACACATGTAGCGAGCAGGATGTTAGTGCGCCAAAAACCTATGGGAGGAAAGAGAAACAATTAATGATACTCGTACTTACATATATAAAAAAAACCTTAATTTTTTGTCACTTACATTATTATCTGTGTCCTGTATAACAATTAGTATAGGACTTTCGAGTTTCTGCATCTTTCGGTAAAGTGAATTCAACGAGAAACCATGCTGGGATGTGCTGAAAATCAATGACCACGAGTAGCCTTCAGCACGTGCGGGTAGGTGTCCACAAAGTTTTTCACTAAAAAAAAAAAAAACGAAAACAAAAATAAGGGTATGTAAGTAAGTAATACTGTAACATGTTACCAAATGGTACGGCATTTGTTTATTTACAATGCACTTTATTTTAATAACTAATTAAATTTAAGTAACTACATTAATAAACTGATTTTGTCAAAGCTCAGCGCATTGATGCCGCAATGAATTGGATAATTTATGTTTGTTAGTAAGCTTGCACTTGCTTATGCAAATTATAATAACCGGTTTTTTTCAATACAATCTCGTGACAAATGTACATTCATACATATGAAGGTACATATCGTAGTTTAAAGTACAAAACCGCACATCAAAAAAATGCAAAACCGCGTATGTGAGGTAGCATAAATTATTTTCTAGAGTGTAAGAACACTCATATTTCAAAATGATTCTCTTTTTTATAAAACAATCGCATTTCTAGCTAGTATATTCAAGGACGAATGGATAAGGCATGAGCCAAGAGCTTGTGTGAGCAAATCCAATTTTTGCCAAAAAATGTCAGTTATGCGGTTTTGCAGAATGACGATATGCGGTTTTGTACTTTAAACGTCGATATGTATATGTACATGTATGTGTGTTTGCACATACGTCATTCAAATATTGCCGTTTTAATTAAAAATTCAAATAAAGGTTTTTCAAATGTGCACAGCTAATTGAATAATTTTAGTGATTTTATTGCCGATGAAATCAGATAGGGATGCAAATTAAAATTTTGATTATTTGTCCCAATGACATTTCATGTTATTTTGTTTTTCCATGATAGGCGGCATGTTAGTAAACAAATACATTGTTAGCATTTACAGTTCAGCATTTTTTTCATTCAATTTGAACTTTGTGGTGGCAGAGCAGCATTTAAACAATTAAAAGTAATTTAAATGGAAATTTTAGGGGCTTCTGTGGTCCGAGGGCTCTGTGGTCCGAGGAATCTGAAAGTGCAATTTATTTTTTTCAACAACGACCGCTGGATGCGCTATGATGCAAAAAAACCATGGGAGGAACATGAAGGAACAGTGCAAACAGTGTTTCTCAACAATGCTTCTAAACAATATTCCTTCATGTTTTTTTTCCACCAAAGAGCACCAAATCGCACCCAGCGGCCGGTTTTGTTTGCAAACATGAATTTGCAGATTCAATAATTGTTTAAATAGCTACTCTGCGACCATAAACTTCAAGTTGAAAAAAACCCTTAAAATCGCCAACCTGGGAAAACTGAGCAATTACTCTTCTGTATACAATCCAAACTTCCCGAAAAGCTTGGTGTCGTAAATTCCCCAGCCGACTGCCGAACAGTGTAATGCAGGGATGAAAAATGGAAATTTCAGATTGTACCTAATACCATAAAATAAACGCACCTAAATGAGACAGATTGTACCTAAAAAAGTTACATCATTCGTTTGTAGTTTTTGTTATTAATTTTATTTAAAATATGAATAGAAAAGATAGACGTACTTTAAACTTGATTAGGTTCGTTTTTTAAACTGAGCTTATATTTATAGACTATAGTGCTAATGGGAATCGGGGAAGCTTTGTTTTTGTCTAGTTTTGACTACTGAAAAATATTGGCGAGAAAGACATAAAACACGCTTTGCGAAGGTTTCCTTTTTAATCCCGCTTTTACAAAAAAAAAAAACAGGAAAAGTCGTCTAATTTATCCGATTCCCTTTAATAGGTGCAGCAAGTCGAGAGGAAATAATCGGAACTGTCGTAAGTTCCTTCGAAAGCATTTTAAACATATTTCCAGAAATGAAATTTGAAGAAATCCTAGACACATACATACTTTTAATTCGAAAAGTCTATGTATCAGTTTACATGGTTTATATAAAATATGGAAATTAGTATGAGTACACAAAATCCCCAGAATCTTGAAACGGAATCTCGATTTAGAATTCAAGAGAGGGCATTTTCTTAGCTCAATAATTATAAATGACTTTCATTCTTTTTTTTTAAGACTATTTAAACAGTAATTGACGAGACTTTGGATATCAAATATTTGTCAACTTTTTAAAAAAGATGTTAAAATGCTTTTCTTTTTTGAGTTTTAAAATAAATCTTTACACCCACTGTTCGGCTACATAACTATAGAAAAGTGCTGCATTCGAATTTATTACTACTTATAAAATATTACTTCACAACTTACCGATGCTCTTCTGTGAGGATTTCTGTTGTGCCAATTAGATCTGGTATGGGGAAGTCCAGGTCAAAGGAACCGGTAGCAAATAATGAAGCCTTGCGGTAATCATCTGTGCTCATAGACAATACCTATAGCGTGGAAGGAGGAGAAAAATTTAAACCAAAACGACATTTAGTAAATTCTTCAATAAAATGTAAAAAAAAGACATAAGTCTGTGTGTTGGGTTTCTTCGATTTTTTGTTTGTTCAATAAGGAAGAAAGAAGTAAACATAACCTAGCAAATCAAATACAGGTATGTACAATTACATTGTCAATCAATCAATCAATTCAGTTCAATTCAATTTAATTAATCAATCAAGTGAAACAATTTGCTGATATACAAATATCACAAATACATATATAATAAGGTGGATAATAAATATTTATTGCGTGATTATTAAGTGAATACATAGTACAATAACTACTATTGATTTGGTAATGATTGCTGGTGCTTTACAAAAACTTTTACAACAGAAATTCGAAAATTATTTAATATCATACATTTTGTTTAAATAATTGATTGAAAATGAAAGAAAAACTGAAACTAAAATAGATTTAGGTAAATGATTTTATGATAAACCTATATAAATACTTGTATATGAATAAATAATTTTTATTGCACGCTACAACTTAAAAGTTGATTGAATTGCTATAGAAATTACTTAAGAAAACTGAATATTTTAGTAAATAAATTTACATGAAGTGAAATGTAAGTACCAAAAAATTATAATGAATATTATTCAAAATTGGCGCATAATCTGTTTAATATAAAAAAGGGAATTAAAATTTTAGATTAACTAAAAATAAATAGCTGGTGGCAGAAAATGTATTTCATTTGCTTATTGCTAAAAAAATAATAATTATTGCTAAAAGACAAACAGAATAACGCTAAGACCTCCTCGTTAAATGATCTTTCAATTAATTATGGTTGCAGAATTGAAAATTGTATTACGAAAGGCTTTGGTATTTCGAAGGACTGTGGTGAGTTGAAAGGCATTGCAGGAATTGCCCCAAGCAAGCGAGCGAAATTCTGCCATCAGCTTATCCGCAGTTTACAGGTACGTATATGAGCAAATTCCACGATTTTGTATGTGTATTTGATTTATTTTTTATGGTATTTATTTCTGGAACTCCATTTATTGAAATGAACGCAAGAAGCGTTTTTTTCTGGCGTAACAAGGAAGTGACACCGAAAAGGAAAAAAAACAACCCGTGAGATTTGCTCCTATACTAAAAAATTTCGTATTCGTTCGGTAAATAAAAAATGTAGAATTGAATTTGTGCTTTAATGTGCGTGTCAGTATTCAGTGAAAGCTTAAGAAAAACTAATAACATATTCACATACGAAACACTAACCGGCTTAACACACATAAATATTTATGCATGTATGCACAAGTAATCCCAGCCAGCAAAATATCCGGAAACGTATCCAAAATTGGTAACAATTTCGTATAAAAAATGTTTCATCCGTTTTCCGATTCTGTTTTCGGACGTTTTTCAGATCAATTCTCCCACTAAAGTGTTCATCCGAAACGTATGTGCAGAAAACTATCGAAAATGGTTGTAAAACGGATGCGCTTTCGGCTATTTTCCTGAAATTTGTCTGATACAATTTTTCGTTGAAAACGATTTCATTATGAACGTCACAGAAACTTTTTCATAGTTTCGGAAACCAAACAAATTTAACATTCAGCAATTATATCAATTTGAATAACTAATTTTAATGTGTTGCTTCTGACGGAATTCGAACCTGGGACCTCCTGAAAGCTAAGAAATAGTAGCACACTTCTCTGCACACTCAACTACTGACGAATATGTATACATGTTTTCAAATGCTCAGTTTGAACGAATATTTTAAAATTATTTTTTTTAAATAAGATGATGACATTTTTCGAAAACAAAAAATGTACGAAAACNAAATGTTTTAAAATTATTATTTTTAAATAAGATGATGACATTTTTCGAAAACAAAAAATGTACGAAAACTGTACTTTCGGCAAAAAGTGCGTTTTTCTGCTGGCTGGGGTTATCATGAAAATATTCATAACAATATTTGTGTAGTTCTTTTAACTTTCGTCAGTGGCTTTTTTCCAAGTAGGTGCTGGTGACAGTAAAGAAAAGTGCATAACTAAGTTAAACAAAATATATCGATAAATGCATATTTAAATAAAATATAATAAGAGAAATAAAACAGTAAAAATTATGTCAACTGCAGCGCGTTATGCGAATTGGTGTTTATGTATGTAGGTTTGAAAGAAAATCTTGCACAATATGTATGACAAAAGGGCCATGAGTAAATGATGAGCTGAGTGCATGAAAAGGTTAAATGTTTACCGATCGATCGATTGCTGGGTGCCTTCATAGATAATGGTCTAATGACGGTAGCATATACATATGTATGTATGTATTGTTTTATTGCCGAATGTAGGGGTTGTCTTTACATTTTTCATCATATCTTTGGTATTTCAAAGTGTGCTTTATCGATGTTCTTGTTTCGAGGAGACAAAGTTCTTTGACCTCAAGTACCCGGTTCAAGTACTTACCCGCCAGATTTCATGCGTAACACCCTAACGTACCCATCCTACTTACTTTATTAAAACATAATAACTTTTTTCAATAGAACTATTAAAAAAAAAATTGCCAAAATACTCCGAAAACTGTAAAAAGCCGACCCCACCCCTAAGCCCGGCAAAAAATATTGTTCTAAAAATTGCCTTGTAAAAATACTTCAAGACTCAGGGGGGTGCAGCGTGTTTTTTTGTTTGATTGGCACGGTAGTACGGTCTAATGTACACATTGGCATGCTAGATTTCATATTAATTTTAGAAAATTGTGCAATAAACGGTTGTTCTTGCTACATATTTCGAAAAATGTGCCGTCAAGCGACGAGTGAGCGAATAAATTGAGAGCGATTAGTGTAATCAAGCGAATAACTACTATAAAATTGTTAGTAGTAAATAAAAGTGAATCTACAATGTAGTAAGTGCGCTTGGTAATAAAATACCAATAGTGTGCAAGTATTTCACAATATTCATAGTTGTTTTGCAATTAAAATTAAACTGTTATTTTATTTATTTTTTAATATAAATGTAAGTTGGTACAAAAGTATGTTGTAATGTGAGAGCTATTGACAAGTGGCTGGACACTTTAGTTTCTAGTGCGCTGTCTTAATGGTACTTAAAAAAAAATACTTACAAGTATTTCAAATATTTTTTGATAGCTGTAAGTATCTTTCTGTAAGCAATATTGCATGTAAGCAGTTACAAACAGCGCCACTTCAGTAACTATCTTCTTTGTCATTATAAGAAAATCAAAAGTAATTTGTCAAACGGCCTTTGCCAACTTAAGTAAAGAGTAAATATTTATTGCGGCACTCTTTGCTTGTGGTTCCAAAATATTTACTTAAGAAAATTGATTGCCTTATGAAGGAGTACAATTGATTATAATATCGTAAACAATCTTGAGTCATGTTTACACTGAGGATAATGCAACGCTGAAAAGGTTTGTATAGAAAACAAATTTTTCCTAAAATGCATAATAGATGCATCGTTTTCTACAACTATCAAGTGGTTCTAGCTGAAAACTGAGAGATTTTTTTTTTGGACAAACAGCTTGAAGATGGGAGGAAAAGTATACTATTTTTAAATTAGGATCAAACGGTTATACAAAATACACTTACTACTTAGCCAGTTGATCAGAACAATCCGAGGGGAAAATGGAATTTAAATTGATTTCCAAAACCAATTTATATGAAAATAGGTAAAGACGACGACTTTGCTCAACGACAAGCCTCAGTTAACGCCCCCGCATGGTTGTTAGACACCCATTTATGGTGGGCTTGTATATAAGTAAGGGGTTAAGGGCTATTGGCAGCTCTCAAGAGAAATCACAAATATTTTGCCGAATTACTTATAATACGAATTGTCATAAAATCGTTGCAAGGGGAATGGAAAATTTAGAAATTTCGATGCAAAGCTTTATTTTTTAGATACCAGAGCAAAACAATGTCGGTTTTGTAATCAAAGGTAAAAAAGTAACGAGACCAAATACTTCCCTTTTTTGATATTTGAAAAAGTATTAAAAATCAGACTTTAGAGCATTTTGGTAAAAGAAAACAGTTCTTGTAGCCTTTTTATAAGAATTTGGAGCAGAATTGTTTCGAAAAATTAGACGCTCAAATTTCTGATTAACTAAATATGCTTGTCTTTGAAAACTGTCCCACAAATTGATTTCCGCATGGCATTAAATGACAAAACTTTTAATGACAAAATTGGGCATTAAAAAGTACCTGCGCCATTGCGTTAAGAAAAATTGTCATAAAATTCATTTCCACATGGCACACGTTTTTAAATGGCACACTTTTTTTTATCATTTTAATGCCTAGTAAAAATGGGGCATTACTCATTGCTTTGTCTTAAGTGTTTTTTTTTTAATTTTTAAAGATAAAAAACAAATCAAGAGGTATTGCACCATTTTAAATGACAAATAAGCGCAGTTTTGATATTTCTAACTAATGGATAACGTAATTAACAGTTTTTTTTTATTATTTAATTACTTCAGCTTCAATATGCGAAAGTGAAACTATCGAGTCTCTACAGTTGCAGCCGGAACAGAAGTTGGTTTAACAGACACTTTATTTAGTGAAATGTTAGAATAAGCCCAATTAGAGTGACAACCCTCCTCCTGGCACTCACAGAGGGTTGTTTTACTGATTATTTTCTCGATTATTATACATTATATTTTCCCACTGGGGTTTTTAAGAGCCAATACCCTTTGATCCGGCTTTTTCAAAATTTTGATTTTTTTATCCTTTTCCAAAACTAAGTGCGACTTTTGGCCTGTTCCAAAAATTATTTTAGGAAATTTTAACAGAACCATGATTATAAAAAAAAAATATTTCCTCCAGTAGATACGCCGCTGTGGTGTAGTGGTGAGCAGTGCGCGCTTCCACTCATCAGCACTTGGGTTCAAGTCCTGGTCAAAGCAACATCGTAAAAAAAATATAGAAAAAGGTTTTTTCTTAACAGCGGTCACCCCTCGGCAGGCAGTGGCAAACCTCCGAGTGTATTTCTGCCAAGAAAAACAGCTT